TTGAGAAGTCTGCTGTGATTCTGATGGGCTTTCCTTTGTATGTGATTTGTTTCTTTTCTCTAATAGCTTGTAAAATTTTGTTCTTCTGTTGGGTTTCTTAAATCTTAGCTATTATATGCCTATGTGTAGATTTTTTTTTATCAAAGCTATTTGGAGTCTTATATGCCTCCCTTATCTGTATGTCAAGTTCTTTTCCCCTCCTTGGGAAGTTTTCTGCCATTACTTCTGTGAACAGTGTTTTTATGTTGTCTGCACTCTCTCCTGTTTCTTCATTGACTCCAATCAGTCTGATGTTATTCTTCTTTGCATCATGTAGCAGCTACTGAATTGATTTCTCGTGGTCCCTTACTATTTTTCAGAAATTTTTCTTTTCCTGGTCACTGATTGCAATCCTATCTTCTATATCTGAAATTCTATCCTCGCATTGGCTCATTCTCTGTGTAGACTTTCAATGGAGTTTTTAATCTCCTGGACATCTGTTTGCATTTGTTTTATGGATTCCATTTGTTTCCTATGTTGGGATTCCATCATGTTCCTTGGCTCCTCTATTTTTTAATCTTTGTCCACTCTAGATTTATTAATCATGTTTTGTACTGTGGGCACAATCTCTGCTGTTTTCTGAGAAATTATTTGTGATTTCATTTTTTCCAGGTCCTCTTTTGTTGCCAGTTCAGAGTCTAGGTGGTTGTTTATCAGATTGTTCCATCTCATTGCTCTTTGGGGTTGCCTTAGGTGATCTGGAAGTCTGGTTTGGAGACTTGATTATGTGTCTTCTCATTTCAACAGATGCAGCCTGCTGTGCTTTTTTTGAGTGACTTTTTGTTCACCAAGTCATCTTGAATTCTCAGCAAACCACTGAGCAGCCTTTACTCTACTGCTAACCAGTACATCAATTCCTGGGTTCAGAGTGGGGCCTTCTGGATCCCTGTGCTGTCCTATTGTCTGGTTGGGGTTCTGGCTGGGGCCTGAGCACACTTGGGATGGTATCTAGGTGTGCCTCTCACTGGGGCCCCTATGTAGCTGTTGTCTTGGAGGGTCTTTGGCTGGGGGCTGTGCACCCCAGTTCCTGTTGTCTGTGCAGGCCTCTGTCTAGGGTCTCCATGCACTTATCAGTAGTATCGGGGTGAGCCTCTGGCTGTTGCTTGTGTGCCTGTACAGCTCTTTTCCAGGCAGGTCCTTGCCTGTGGCCAATGGTATGGCAGGCCTCTGGCTGAAGCTTGTGCACCTGTGGAGTTCTTTTCTGGGTGGGCCTTTGACTTGGACAGGTGTGCCAAGCCTTTGGGGTTGGGGCAGAGCCCTGGTTGGGATTCACCTGCAGTCTCACTGCTCTGGTCCACACAGCTGTTCTCCAGGATCTGCGCACACTTACAGTTGGAATGGCAGGCCTCAAATTCAATAATTAATTGCAATTGTGGTATCTTATGTTAAAAACTAAAGTTAGGTTGTCTATATTTTCTTACATTTTCTGAAATTAAGATTTTAAAGTAATAATTAAATCAAAAATTACTAAATAGGGCTGGGAATTTAGTGGTTCTGCTGCCTGCCTCATAAGCACAAGGTCCTGAGTTTGATCCCCGGTACCAAAAAAAATGACTAAATATAATAGGTGCATATTGGGTATTAAAGAGACCTAACTGTAATTCAGGGCTTTTAAATTTCCTATTACATATCTCTAAGGCAAATTTTACTCTGGATCTTCAGTTTCATTAGCTACAAATTAAAGTTATTGATTCCTTTTAATACTTCAAAAAGTTATCTTAAGCATTCTATTAAATGATGCATGCAGTGAACTTAATAAAGTGATACAAAGCCAAGTGTACATGCACATAATCTCAGAACTCGGCAGGATGAGGCAGGAGGATGGCTGAGAGTTCAAGGCCAGCCTGGACTACATAATGAGACCCTATCTCAAATAAACAAAGAACCCTAATAGAAAGTGATGTATTTGTTGGAAGAATTTATTAAATCATGATTAGACTATGTACAAAGCTGTAAGAAGCCTACATCCGTAATCCGTATTTCCCATGATGCTACACAGTTAGTTGATATAATTTTAGAGATGAGAGAGCTCATTTTGGATTTGAATGGCCAAAGAGGTGGCTGAGTACAGGGAGTGCCAGGTTAGATTACCATAATTAATGCAAAATTGGGATTCAAGTTGAAAATTTAGGAGGGAGTGGGGACACTAGAGCAAGTTCAGGTTAGAGTCAGAGAGCAGGCCTGAGCTCTGGGACTGAAAGTTTAAGTTAAGTTAAAAGTCAAGTTAAGCCCCAAAGCTGGCTGACAACCACATTCTTTGACGTAGGCCAAAGAGTGAGAAGAGCAACATCAGCAGAACCTAGAGGCATGGCTGAACCTGGATACTGAGGACTAGAGCAGTCTACTCAAAATCTGTAGTTGCCTCCCAGCTACCTTCTTGGCATCCCAGAGGCCCCACCCTATGTGTGGTTGGTAAAATCACATCTAACCGCCATGGACACAGGGTGCCTTCAGGTGGGGCCACGTAACCCGCATAGACGGGGAGAGAATGTCTTACTTCTTGATTGATGCACTTTTTCAACCTCTACTTCATCTTTCTGAATTTTTATTAATCATTTTCCCACCATTTCCAGCTATCTTTCTTTTTCACATGTTTTCCAATTAACTCTCACAAGCTTTGTCCTTGGTACCTTCTTTCCACAGTATTGCTTATTTGCTTTATCTTTCTCAGTCCAGATTTCCTTACATTATAGAAACTTGGAACCCATAGTATATAAGAAAACTGGACCTGAAAGTGCCTTTTTAGCATATAATATCTTAGTTTAAAAGCTAGTAAAAAATATGATTCATATTACTAAAGCATTGCCCTTATAGAATTTGTAGATTAGGAATTATTTATAAAATTTCCTGATGTCTTGCTTATGCTCTTCACTGTCTCTGAGCATTAAAGTGCAAAACTAATTGTTCTCAGTGTAAAGTCAAGAGTAAGATTTCTCATAGTGACTTCCTGTTTTCCCTTGGCTACACTTGTCTAGGACCCCTGCAGTACCTACAGGGCACATCTGAGTGTGCCTGGCTGCCGTCACAGTCTCATTGTCATTCTTCTGAGGTGACTTCACCACTCTGACATTTGGGATTTTGCCCTCATTTTATTACTAATTAAATTCATTTTTACAGTCTTAAATTATTTGAGGTAAAATTACTAAAATCTGTACTTTGTTCCAAGATCTTTTTTAAAACTCTGGGTAATTAAATTTAAGAGTCATCATGTTAATCTTTATTAGTATCTGAAGGAAATGACTGATGGGAGATTAAAGATTTCAGCATCTACATGTTCAAATGAGGAGGGGAACAAGGGAGAAGGGAGGAGGAAAGGAAAGAAGGGAAAAGGAAAAAGAGAAGGAAAAAGTGGAAACAAAGCTTTTCTAAATAAGGAGGGGAAGAGAGATTGAAGGGAGAACAGGGGATTGGGGAACAAAAGGAGGCTCAAGATATATCATGTACAGGTACAAATTCCCTGTGATGAATGTGATCATTATGTATATCTAAAATGTACCATGAAATTAATTGTAAAAAGAATAGGTTAACAATTAAAAGTATTCATTTTATCAACAGTATCATTTTTTGTCTTCTATTTTGTATCTTCACTTTGAACTAACAATGGGGTCCAACTCAAAGTTCATTCATTATTTTAAAGACATTTTAATTTTATGAGCTCTCTGGTCACATTCTTTGTCTCATGAGGATAGCACTTATAAAAAAAATGATGTGAGTGTTGGTTTTTTATGAGCAACTATATATGATAGCTAATTATTGGTGATAACTTGGTTTCATCTCATGAATACACCCCTAAGCGTCCATAATCATGAACAAGGACCTTCCTGTGATATAAATATTTTACCCTATTGGATTAGTAAATGCTTTGTTAATTGGCTGATTCTTATTTCTATTCAAAGAGCATCTTTAGATAAATGAAGCTTTTAAATAATACCCTGAGGAAAACTCTTGGCAAACATACTGTGCTTTTTGCCATAAGGTTCTCAAAATATATCAGAAAAATATTAAAAGTAAACTTTTAGAAAAGAAGATTAGACCCACTGCAAAACCCATAACTCATCCTTTCCCTTAGGACTGCCTGAGTTAAAACAAAGGAGGATAATTTGGTTCTGCTATGATAACTACTTGATTTCTATGACCCTAAAGCTGATAACTGGATAACTTTTACCAACTCATAACTGTCATGAAAATCGGATCTACTTTCAAGCATTCCCTGTTCCTGGGCTTCCCTGGCGGGGATGAATGAACTAACAGCTGGTTGTTCCCTGTAGCTCTCGGGTGAGCGGCATCCATGAGATGATGGGGTGCATGCAGAGACGCATGGATCTTCTCACTGAGCAGTGTTCAGCGCACAAGCAATTGGCTCTCAAGAAACAGCAATTAACAGCCTCGGTGGAGGGTTACCTCAGGAAGGTAGTTTCATAAAATGACACATAAACTTCCAGTTCGGTGGTTGTAGATGGTATTTTGACTACAGTTTGTGAGTTTGGTGGCAGGATGGGGGCTCATCTCCTTAGGCTTCTCTTACATTCCACATTAGGTCCTACAGCTGGACAAAGACAAAGCAGTCATAATTCATTATTGCTCCTTAACTATCCCTGCCTCCCACATCAAGACCTAATCCAGTCTGCCACCTCAAGCCTGAACATATAAATACAAAGGGAGCCCTCACCTTCCACACTTCTACTACCTGAACCACGTATGCACTGGGGTGGGGAGCTTGATTTGCACCATTCTGAGCATGTTCCTACTGTGTACAAGTTTCCATTAACCTGGAACCATGGGACACCAGGATTACAGACAGATATATTACCAAAAATTATAGTTTTAGGTTTTTCCAGGAATAAGTTGTCATTATCATATTTTATTGAAGCAGACCAGTGCAAGAGACTTATTCATTCTGCATAAAAGCATACATGAGAAAATTCTCTTTATTTTGACAAGACAAAAAGCTACTTATTAGTAGTTCAGATACATAGCAAAAAACAACTGTTAATATTCCAATGACACTGATGCTACAGAGGCTGACTCACATCTTCAATGGTGTTTTCACCAGATGCAATGGATGCACATGCTGTATATGCTTGAGTAGAATTGGTAGACTTCACAGGAGAGAACACTAAATACCAATGTCTCTATTTAAATTACTTCCTTATCTGTTATTGATCCAGAACTTGGGAATTTGAGCTTTTTTCTGATACTGGGTCCAGGGAGATTCCAAATTTGGAGACCGTGGTGGTGCCTCATTCCCTTGTTTGAGCTAATTTGCTGGTAGTGGAAAACACAGTAGGAATGCAAACAGCCTTTGCTACTTGTCTTCCTACCAATTTATAGCTAGTTCAACTTTGGGGGATATGGACTCTGGATAGAGCAAAAGAATGAAAGAAGTAACATGACTGGAGCAGAACCTTTCAAGGGTCACTTTATTCATGGATCTGTGGGTACTGAAGATCAAATCACCGTTTCCCAAGTTGATCCATTAAATGACATGTACAGGGTTTGATGCTACACCCGGAGCCCCTCAGCCCTAAATAGAGCAGCCCATATTGTGAGCCAGTACCTATGCTCTGGATCTCTACTTCTAAATGTGCCTATAAATCTGTCCCATTCAGTGTACAGATTAATTCATTTCTGTTGATGTCTTAGCAAGTATATTATCATCCTTTGAGGTAATTTACAGTATGTAGATGATTGCTTGTATCTCATTTCTTTCTTTCTTTTTTTTTTTTTTTGGTACTGGGGATTGAACTAGGATCGAGGATTGGACCTTGCGCTTGCAAGCCGGGTGGCGGTAAACCATTGGGCTAAACCCCCGGCCCCTCATTGCTTTTAATAAAAGAAATATTGTATCTTTAAATACATATCCTCTATAAATGGGTCACTAATGTTACCTCATATGAAGAGGAGCATTATTAAAGTCTGAAATTCTGAAATATTTCAGATTATTTGCAGATTAAAATTGATATATTTTTGAAGCATAGTGGGAATATGTAAATCATTTATTTTTCTTACATATATACATCTATATGTGCAGATATGTATTATTAAAACTGCCATATATTCTTTATTCTTGAAGGTGGAAATGTCAGTTCAGAAAATCAGTCCAGTACTTTCCAGTGCAATGAATATTGGTTCCAGCCTTTCTGAATCAGAGAAGATTCTGAATAAATATCTGGAACTAGATATCCAAGCCAAGGTAAACAAAATAAGAATTAACATTATGGTCATGGTTTTGTAAATATGATCTTTTAAAATATTTCACAACTATAAAACTTAATTCTAGCTCTCTTGAGGGTTGCAATTCTCAATTAGTATGTAGCAAATAACGACTTAAAAACGCATACTGTTATATGTGTCTAAGTTATTTATATTTATATGTGCATTTATGAGGACATTTAAGCTCATGAAAGTCAGCATTACAGCCTGGTATTAAACACTCATTTGACTTCTCCTAAGGTTATCTGTGATTGTAGGCTAAGTCACAGAAGAAAATTACCAGAAGCAACGTGCATTGTTGCAAGACACAACCTTACTTCACACTCAATCTGCAGAGACATCAATGCCCATCCTCACTCTGGCTCCTCCTCCAGCTCCCTCCTATCTTTTTCCCGTGGGACATGGATTCAGTGATTCCTGTGCCACACCTGCACCGAAGTCGCTGCCACTTCAGGGTGTGGTGGCAAAGTCATTCTCCTCCCTGGTTCGTACAGGTCCAGGTTGGCAGGAAAAGCAGTTAGCCTCTTCTCAGCAGAGGAGCCCCTTCTGAGACAACACCCCCACTGGAAACCCGGGCACAACGATTTTTTTTTAAATGGAGCCCTTTTTGTTCTTTATTGAAAAGGCTTAAAATAAACTTTGTGTAGGAATGCAGTTTGATTTTTATTTTAAAACTTTTAGAAGCAGAAAGGAGATTGCAAGGAAAGAAATCCCTTGCTCCTCTTCTCTGAGTGCAACCAGGAAGCAGGGCTTGTAAATTACAATTAGCTTCATTCAGCGGAGTCCTTGGGAAGCATATTAAACACAAGTAGGAAAGCAATCTCTCCTTCTACAATAAGAGTGAACCTTTTTCTTTCATCTGCTTGATTCCTGACTTGTTCTCACATGAAATTTTACATGGCTCTTGCTCTGACAATTATACAATCTTATGTTGCTCAATGGTGGGGACACATTCTGAGAAACGTGCTGTTAGATCATTTTGTCACTATGGGAACATCACAGACTGTCCTCCTACAAAGCCAAGAAGGTCAAACGCTCAATATGACCTTTTGATACAACCAAGAAATGTGCTATATATGAGATGTATGTGTGTGTTGCCAGCAAAATCAGGTGCACTGTTTTACAGTAAACATTTTTTTAGCATTAAGTAGAAGAATGCACTCAAAAATACCGATAAAAATATAGTATAGTAAACATAAAACAGTAATATAACCATTTATTTTCATTATAAGTATTATATATTACACATAATTGTATGTGCTATACTTTTATATGATTGGCAGTACAGTAGATTTTTTAATACCACTATCAAAAGATGTAAATAATGCACTGCACCATGACCTTATGTTGCTTATAACACCACTAGGCTCTAGGAGTTTTTCTGCTCCGTTAAAACCTGAAGGAAACCTAGTCACTGTACACCCAATTCATCATTGATCAAAATCAATGCACTATGCAGCAGATGACTATCTCTATGTAATGCCTACAATACCCTCTCATCCATTTAATTAATGACTAGAGTCTATGGGCCAGAAATTGCATCAAGACAACATAGGGGAGCAACCCTAAGCAGGTCAAGTCTATCGATTCTTTCGATTGGTTAGGCTTAAGATGTAACATACTCCCTACCCATGTTTAAAAATTCTGCTCAAGGGCTAGGGATTTAGCTCAGTGGTTCTGCCATCTGCCTTGTAACCGCAAGGTCCCGAGTTCAATCCCCAGTACCAAAAAAAAAAAAAAAATTCTTCTCAATAGAGATTTAAGGAAGATTGCTTAATTGATATTTGATTTTTAATAAACTAAAAATGAGCAAGTTTTGTAAATTTGCTATCTCTTCTATGACAAGTTTAGTTTAAGAATTTCCTTCACCTATTGTTAAAATTTTTACAACAATTTTCACATGAGTATTTAAAATATTCTTTCCATTTTTGTTTTAGAAATTCCTGTACCAACTATTCTTTTATTTGTGACACAGAAAATAAAATGGCCTAAATAGGATGTGTAGCTGATAGAGCCGTTTCAAACAGTGACTTCAGATGGTTTCTATTTTAAAGTATCTTTTTTACTTTTTGGGAATTTAGAAAGTTGTGCCTTTATTTTATGGAGGAAATTCTCAGTACAAGTTCAATTAATAATTGTAGTAGATGGTTGTGCTGGAAGGTAATGAAATGTGAATGTTCATGATTCCCCTGTCAGCTTCTGACCTCTTGTGCTTTCCTTTCCTAGGCGACATCACATGCATTAGAGGCAGCTACAAAAATAATGACAGAGAAAAATGAATTTGAACCTGATGACGTGGCATCACTTTCTTTTAAAGCTAAATGGCTAGAGGAAGAATTAAACATACTTGGCCAAAGCATCAGTTCCAGGTCACAAGTCCTGCAAACTTATGTGGCATTTCTAAAGTCAGCAGAGGAGGTATGGTATGCATACTGACCTGCATCAACAAGGTGGCTTCTGCCCATCTTTGTGTCTCCTGTGGGGATATAAGCTCTCCCTTGGTGCGTAGTTCCACATCCTCTACCCAGTACACACATTTTCTTTAGACCCTTCATTCTTCAAGGCACCAAATGCTCAAAGAAGAAGCTGTTTCACCAAAAAATAATTTAAATATATACATGTAGATGTATGCAATAGAAGTATTTCAATGCTGTTTATTGAATCCTACACATATTTACAATATCCTAAATGTAGACCAGATTATTTGGAAAAGAATCATCTTCTAAATCATGGATTTCTTTGACCACTAAGGAATTAATGTGGTTCATTTAAACCCACGGTGGCGACCCCATGGCATGCATACCACAGTGGGCTGTTTATATCATTTAAATCTCTAAAAGGTTTGCCATCACTGATTTAAACCATGTAAACTTGAAGATATAGGCTATTGGTTCAGTCTCTCATCTGTTTTGCCTGACAGTTTTTAACAAGTTACCTCTCTGAGATTCTTCTGAGGCTTTATTTTGACATGATTATATTAGATAATCTCTATATTTCCCCCTAGTACACTATGATTTCACTTCTCCAAGGTTAGTTTCTTGAAGATGGTGTCAGTAGTAGAAAAGCCTCATTTAACATGGTTGCACTGCACCCCATGTGAATTCAGACAGGTGCTGATTTAGTGGGAACCAGCAAGGTCTACTTGAGGGGCATCCCTTCCAAAGTCAGGTAGGGGCTCAGTTTCTATTTTCTTACCTCCACCTTCCTAAGACCATCACCCTCACTTCCCACCACTACGCTCCTGCCTGCATGAGTCTCCTCTGTCCAATCTGAATTCTTACCACTTTGGAGGAAGCCCCTGTGCAGTCCCTGGAAATCTCAGATACCCGTGTTGTCTTTTTCCACATCTTTCCTGAACTGTTTGTCATCTTTGACTTCCTTTTAGTTTGTGACCGTAAACTCTCATGATTTTCAGAGGTATTATGACTGATAGGATCATCCTGATGATGAACATTTTTATTCAGAACATGAAATGGTAGAGCAACTATTATAAATGCTTGCTTTCTGCATCTTCATTGCCAAAAACGTACCTACTTGGCTTCACGTTAAGCATCCACTTCCATGGCTCACTCTGGCTGTTCGGACCAGGAGCCTCTCTAGGGATGGAGCCTCAGCTTTGTAAGCAACGCTTTCTCAGAAGACCCTAGGTCCTTCAGCTTTCCTGCTTTCATGAAGTCTCTTTTCCTACCTGGCAGAGGTATTCTTCCTTCTAGTCCTGACAGTGCTACCAGTCTGTTCCTCCCCTACCCCCCTGCCTTTCTCCGTTCCCTCACCAGCTCATGGTTACTCATTGCCATTCCACCACCCGTCCCCTCAATTCCCTGACTTCCACCAGGACTAACTCTGCCAACTCCCAACACTAGTTCAGTCCAACACTCTGTTTGCTCAGCTTCCCTTTCCAATCTTCCAGATGCTCCTATGGCAAATCATATGATTGTGCTGATTGGCACTGTCACAAATTTATGGGTTTCTGCCTCAGCTGGGTTCCCCATATGCTCCCTAGTTGGCTTCCGTTTGGTAGTGATTTTCAAGCATGTTACCCATTTCCATTCCTGAGTCTCAGCTGATGTCTTACCTCATACACCCTAAAAAATGAGGCCAATGAACCTCACTGTCTTGACTTCCTATTTCACACTTCCCTTGGCTCACATAAAGGACATCCCTGCTCATGTCCAGGTCTAATCAGGAATCAGTCACTACTGTATGCTCCTATTTCCCTTGGAATCCCTTAAACATCTTCTCATTTTTTAATTTGCCCTTTCCTTTGCTTCTTTCTCCCTTGTTCTATAGTTACATCTAAACAGTCTCGCTCTTGCCAAGGCTGTCTCCTTATCACTTTGCCTTCCTTTGCATATAAATATGTGGAATAGGAAGATGACGGTCTTGCCCCTACTTGCTCATCCTCCACAGTCTTCCTTCCCTTGCAATTCAGTTTGCTCCCCTTTCAGCCCCGCCATTTGCCATCTCTTCCGTCATTGAAAATGTTCTCATCAGCTTGGTGCACTTTCAGTCTCCATCCTGCTTGAGCTGTCTGGAGCATTTATTTAATCCAGTTACATACACACTCTCACCTCCTTACAAAACACATTTATTGAGGTATAATTCATATAGCATAAAATTCACTATTTTTTGATATTTGGTATATTTATAGAGTTGCACAACCAGCACAGAACTCTAGATTCAATGCATCCCAAACCCTCCAAAGAACGTGGGTGGTCACACCCTCAAACTCAGGCAAGCACCATTCTACTTTCTTGCTAGATTTGCCTTTTTTTGGGATATTTCATGTAAGTGGAATCATTCTATTTATCTGTGCCTTCTCTTAATACATTTCTCTTTTTAGTTCTTGACACATGCGGGTCATGGTTTATCCTCTCTTTTGTACATGGTACTCACTTTCTCTAGAAAAATAACGTCTTCTCTGTGGTTTTAATTCTCCAGTAACTCAAAAGTAGTTCCTCATTTCCAACTCTTCTGAGCTCCAGACTAAGGATTTCAATTACCTGTAAATCCTTTAGGCTCTTCAAATTCAGTGAAACACTACCATCAGCTTTTGCTCAAATATTGTTTTCCTTCTGCATTTGGGCACTGGGTCAATAACTCCACCATTCTCTCAGTCATGTAGAAGTGCAGTCTTTTCCAATCATTCCCTCAGTAAGCACTTATTTTACATCATACCTTGTGCTTTCTATTCCTGGTTTTATTTAATCCTTACATTTCTATATTTTCATTGCTGTTCTCCTTATTTTACAAATGAAGGAAAACAGGCTCTCAGAACTTACGTATGCAATATCAAGCAGCTGGGAAACATCAAAACTGAAGTTTAATCACCATTCCATTTTTCCTGTTTCAAAAGCCATACTGTCCTGTATTTGTCCCTGGAGACAACCTCAGATTTCTGAACTCCCATTCCCCTCCATCTGGACCAGTGGTTTCTCAGTTGAAGTCCTCATCCTCCCTCATGGCATAAGGAAGTCACCTTCTACCTGTTCACTCTGGCTGCTGTATTTCTTCCCTTCACTCTCTCCTTTATTTTCTGGGGAAAAATATCATCCTAAAGCAAATGTGATCATAGTACTTACTGAAATGCAGGTAATTCAACACATGTAATTAGTGAAGCAAGTTGCCAATAACTTTTTACCAAGATGGATAAAATATTAGGGTTTATCATTGATTCACTTAAAAAATAAACAACTACAGGGCTGGGGATTTAGCTCAGTGGCACTGCACCTGCCTGGAAAGCGAAAAGTCCTGAGTTTGATCTCTGGTACTACATCCCCCTCCCCACCAAATACCAAAAAACAACTACAGATTCAAAGGAATTCCTATAAGGACATCATTCTCATGTAGATTGAAGGAGGCTTTTATGAATAGCTGGAAAAAGAGCATGTATTAAAGTTTCTGTTTGGAGTATTGCACAAAACTAACGTTTGGTCATATTGATACCCCAGCCTGCAGTGTACAGCTTCCTACTGAAGCACTGATTGGCTAATGAAAATGAGTAATGGAAATGTGTCACCATCATGTTGGGTACAGTAGAAAGCAAGGTGAAACTTGCTGGTCAGCTGTATCTCAGCACTATTATCCCTCTACCTCTTTCTCACCGCTCAGCTTGGACAAACAGAACTTCACTCAACCCAAGATCATTTATTGTCCTCTGAAAGAGCCAGTGTTTTCACAGTTGGTTTTCACAAACGTTATTCCTTCTGCCTGGGACTCAACTCTACTCCCTCACATATTGGGTGATTCTTCAAAACAGGTCAAATGTCACTCCCAATGGAAGATATTCCCTGTTTATTCTATAAAAAGGGGGTGGCCATCTCTCCCTCATGTGCCCCTAACATTGTGTGTAGACTTGTCTTTATGTTGTAATAATTCACTCCTTGAGCTATCTTTCAGTACCCAGGGAAATAAATGATTCATTTTTACTAGGGAATATTAGTAGCATTTTAACTAGTTCATGAAGACTAAATAGAAGAGAACAGAGCTGAGGCCACAATCATCATCAAAGCAGAGACACAAATAAGTGGAATATGGAAATAAAGAGAGCACTATTTCTGAGAGCTATGTGAAGGCAGTCTTATTAAGTTCATTCAAATTAAGAATGTTAAAACCTTTTTTTATAAAATGGAGTACTACTCATCCATAAAAAATGAGAAATTAGAGACATTTATAGCTAAATGGATGTACATTGAAACAATACCCTTTAAGTGAAATAAACAGGACATGTGTAAATAATGAATAGTTTCTCTAGTGTGAGAAACTGAAAGTGGAAATAAGGATTAAAAGGTATAATAGATAATGTGAAACAGGAAGAAAAGGGGCAAAGGGGAAGGGGAAATGGGAGGGGTAGGGGAAAGGAAAGAAGGGAATGGAATTAATATGAGAAAATGGAAAAATGGAAACAAAGTCTTTGTAAATAGGG